CCCCAGGGAAGAACACCCCGGCCCCCTTCCCGCCACTCCGCCTGAGAACCAGGAGATGGACCAACCCGGACACGAGCACCGTCCCGAGCAGATAGAACGCGAAGCCGGTTGCCGATTGCAGCGCGAGGATGCCGGCTGTGAGGCCTAGCAGGAAGGAGGTGAGGGAGTGCAGTTGGGAGAGGACCTAGAGTTCCATGCGTCATCCGTCAGAACGAATTCCCGGAGAAGAGTGAGAAGAAGGGAGAGGGCTCACTCGGTTATTGTGTTGGACGGACTCCGGGACGAGCGGGTTGATTAGCAGGGAGAGTTCTTGTTTCGTTGGAGGCATTTTTCTGGTTCGTTTGGGGTTGTGAGATGGCGTTGTGTGTGGTCAGCCCGGCTGAGTTGATAATGTTGTCGGCTGTGAAATTTTTGTTAATGATGTGAATATAATATGATAATGAATGCTTGCTCGAAAGTGATGTAGAATGGTGGTAGTTGATGGAGTACTCCGTAAGGTTGAGCAGTTCCGCCGCTGTCGAAGAGCTCCAGACGGTTGCTCCCATTCAGCCAATCATAATGCTTGTTACCTTATCTAGGTAGGTACCTACGGATTAGGAAATCGACCATACACTCTAGATTCCAGTGGCTTAGAATGACTGCCTTCAAATCATGTCATATTAATTGATTATGTGCATAACGTAACATAGTTAAATCAGACACTGCACATCCTGGTCAGACAGACCCGTTGCTTTCGTAAACCGTTTCCAGACATCGTCAGCAATTGAGACACAACCGGGCCTCCCAAATGCTGCATGCTCTGTTGATCCGTTGATCGGCTGGGTAAAGCCAAAAAGCACGTCACAAAAAGTACATACATCTCTCCTTCCAAAGCTCATTCCAAAGAGATCGCTCATAGGTCGGATCCTGCCACTTATGCCAAGGTCAATCTAGTCAAATTAATGCAGCTGAGAGAATGTTAGAATGAAAAAGAAAAAAAAAAAAAAAGACCAAATAAATCCGTGTCATCACGCAATGTTATCGAGTTTTCCTTCGGACTTGGCCTCCTTGACTTGCTCAAACACCTGTGATCGTCAGTAAATACACCCTTTAGATTCAAGAGTTGAGGAAGACAAACCTTGAGCATCTTGTTTCGAGCGCCAAGAGCGTTGACGCCTCGATCCTCCAGAGCCTTGTCGTCCAGCTCAATCAGCTCGGTCCATTTGAGATCCTTGAGGTTATCCGTGTACTTGTGCAAGCGAAGAGACCTCAGCCAGCTGGGAATATCCTTCAGAAGATTCGGGTCGGTGGGGTCCTCTGGCGGCTTGGAGCTGCCACGACGACCCCGGGGAGAGCGGCCACGAGCGACTTCGGAATGATCGGAGAGGTAGCCCTCATGACCACCGAGCCCAAACTGGCCGAGTCCCAGAGCACCCAATCCATTACCCAGTAACGGATTGTTCGGGTCATAGGCGGCCAGGAAGCCGTTGTTTTGCGGTGAGGTGAAGCCCATCGCTCCAAGTGCGCCTCCCTGCATGGCAATGCCTGGGGAAGTGGGGCGTGACCGTCGACCCGCCATCGCCGCCTGCTGTTGAGCTTGCAACGCGGCTAGCTGTTGGGCGTTCAAAAGCTGTCCCGCAACTAGATGATTCGCTCCCGGAAGACCGGGGCTTGCAAGACCGCCTTGCGCCATGGTCTGGTTGATATTGGTGTGGGTAGATCTGCCCTGTCCATCGTTTGAGCGAGCACGGCGGTACTTGCGTGCATCGTCCAGGGCGATGCGGTTGTTGACCGTCGACAAAGCGGCCAGCTTCATCGCGGTGGCATTCGCGACCATATCGGCCTGCGAGTTGGGCGGCTGGTGCACCTGCTGACCAAAGGTCGCCGTCATCGGAGTGTTGGTCATGGACGCCCAGCTGGCATTTCCAACATTGTACGGCGACAGCAGGGGTGCCTCGATCTCAGGAGCCGGCATCGTGGCCGTCTGCGTGGGCAGCGGAGAACGGAGGCCCGACGAGGCCTGGCTGAACTGTCCCATCGGCTGCTGACCGGATGAGGACTTGGGTCGGGCGATAGGCGGCTGAGGCTCATTACCGCGTTGAGCCCATGGCGAAGCGGGAGGCTGACCCAGGTTGTCTGTGTTGTCCGGAGCGGAGATTGTAGGTGCAACAAACGAGGAGCGGTCGCCAAAAACAGCGCTATTGCGGTTCGAAGGCGGAGCGTTGCCGGTTTGCTGCGTGAACTCGGCCTTCTTCTTGGCGATGGCCGCGGCGGCATCGGGGAACATGGCATTAATGGTCGAAGAGTCCAAACCCGAGTTGCGCTTGGCACCGGGGGATGGCGGAGGGCGACCCAAGGAGTTGCGGGAGCTGTCAATGTTCAACTTTGACATCGCATCGTTCAACCGGTTAGACATTGCGTCTAGAGAACAAGTCAGCCGCAAGCGTAGGGCAGGGACCTAAGCTGCTCTACATACCTTTCTCACCAAAATTGGCAGGAGACAAGAGTCCCGACATTGGGTGACTTTTGGCCATCTGCTGCAGAACCTGAATGAAGAATCGGATCTGCACCTGCGTAGTCTGCTGCAGCAGAGCATAAAGAGCGGCGGTTCTCTCGGCCTCACTGAGAACGCGAAACCATTGTTCGATGGCACTCAGCTCGTCCTTGAAGTCCTGGTCAAGCGTGGCAGCCGCCATCTCCTCCAGAGTAGTCTCGTATTGATCGATATCGGCGAGCCACTGCTGAGCTGCACGATCCAATGGATCCTCCGCATTGTTCTGAGTCTGAGACTGCTGGTTATAGTACACTTCCGACGACGGACGGATGCTGCGAGACGACAGCGGCGACGGGAAGCCCGACATATCGGCCGACGCACGGAGCTGGTGAGAACCTAGGTTCCGAGAAGACGACGGAGGACGAAGGGACGACTTGGAGGCGTCTGGAGTGCTGTTGCGGTTGCCGATGATGTGGCTAGCCATGAGGGCAATCGGATGATCGACGGACACGGTGGTAGAGTGATTTTTTTTGTTGAGTTGTTACAGCACTGGTGCGTGAAGATGACAGGTTCGGACGAAGAAATATTACTGCAAAACACCCGCAGCACCTGCTGAGTTTGCGCGAGAAAGAAACTCCAGACTTGAACGACAACGCAAAAGAGGCCGTATCACAATACAACAGAAGGTAAGGGCCGATAATCTCTCTAAAGATGGAGACAGGTTTTTGCAACGGCGAGATAACCCAACCGCGACAGCTCTAAGCGACAACGATCGGGGCACAGACCAAGCCAGTGGCTGCACTACTTGATTCGAGACTCTGCTGATTAAGGATCGAACCGAAAAGGGTATCGAAGGATTTTGTTCAAGGATGCGTGAGATCTCGCGTCGGGGATGTCGTCGAAGGGAGTTGTGCAAGGCGTAGCGGACAGAGAGTCGAAATATTATCAGTGGAGATTCTGTAGTTGTAGGCTATCTTTTGGTTTTTTTTTTTTTTTTCGCGTGTTATATTTTTGTCTCTTTTTAAACGAAAGGATGTCAGGACCAACTGCAATAGTGTGTCAAACACAACAAGCAGAAGACCTGAATCATCAAAGGTAAAAGAAGAAAGGAAAGTGAGAAAAAGACAAAAGGATGGAAAGGGAGAGGGAGGAGACTAGAGATGATGGGAGGATGGAAGAGGGATGAAAGAAGAAGAGAGATGGAGAAGAAGCGAGGAAGAAGAAAGGAAGAGGAAGAGATTCCAGTTGAGGAGAGAGTCGAGGCTTTTTCCGGTTGGGCGCTTTTTCGTCGCTTTTTTTCCTTGGGTCAGTCATCTGCTAGTCCAACCCCCAGGACAAACGCAAAGCAGCTTTCATCGCTGCTGCTGTGATCCTGGACTATCCAGAGTTTGCTTCATCCTTTTGAGATTTAATTTGCATCTTCTGCGCGACAATCCATCATCCTTATTACTGTGATTTCATCAGTCTTGTGAAGTCTGAGGAATCTCCTGCCCAATCAGAGCTCGCTTGGTACTGGCAGCTCTTATGCTATAGATAGTGGGGATCTGTTGCTATGAATTAAGCTCATGAGGAGCCTTTGCCTCTTTTCTTTTTTTCCTCTTTTGAATCAACCTCCTTGAAACCAACCAGAAGTGTCCGTGTCGAAACGAGTCTGACACGCCTTGAATGTGGGGACTGGGGACAGTACTCTACTCGACTCAATTGGATACATGCCATCAGATGCATCCAGCATTGCAGTTGAGTTGCTCTGAAACCTTCTTGTGATGCTTGGGTCAGTCTACTCTACCCCCGGTGATACATTCGTACTCTGTATGCTTGTGTGAATCTGCGCCTGGTCATCTCTTTACCAGCACCACTCTCCCGCGTTCATGGACCGCGACTCATTTGATTTTCTCTGCAACATCATACACTCAGGTGGATAGTTGATATCGGACACTTTGAAGATGGAATATCCCGATGATGGAAATGGATCCGATCCTCCCCCTCATTCTCAGGAGTTCGCCTATCCTGACATTGAGGAGACGATGCAGTACCCTTGGCAAGGTACTCAGCCAGCCGTCGCGGGCGAATCCTCACTTCACTCTGTTATTGATCCTCGCCTTTACAAGGATCTGTTCTCGCGTGGCGCCTCGCAGCTACCTGATCAGCATGCTATGGATGAGGAGGATGAGGAGGGTGCAGAGGAGTATTCGCACATGGATGACTCGGCCGAGGACTTCACTTATGAATATTCAGGAGAAGAAACTTCAACGTCAGTTTGTTCATCCAAAATCGCCTTGTCCCTGATTACTGACGTTCTCTAGGGAAGAGGAGTCTTCAGACGTAGACGAGAATGCTGCAGAGGAGGGTGATGATGATTCGGTCGGTCGGAGACGACGCCGCAGAAGGGGCACCGGGCCCTTTTCTGGACGATGGGGCGCCCGTGGTGGGAAAGGAATCAAGAGAGGACCTCGTAAGCCGCTGGAGCCCAGTGCGGAATTCAAGATGCTGCACTCGGAAGCTACATCGGCCTTTATCGATGGCGACTATGAACGCGCCATTGATCTTGTGAAGCGTGCGATCCATATCAACCCTGAGATGTTTGCTGCCCACTCGCTGCTGTCGGAGATCTTTCTTGCGCAGGGTCAGAAGGACAAAGCTCTAACCGCGCTGTTCAGCGGCGCTCATACGCGACCGAGGGATGCATCGGTGTGGTTCAAAGTAGCGCAAATGATACTTGATCGAGCCGGCGATGATCGTCCAGCAGCGCTGTACGATGTCATCTATTGCCTGAGTCGTGTCATTGATATTGAGCCCAAGAACTACAATGCTCGGTTTCAGAGAGCAGCAGTCTATCGAGAGTTGGGCCATAACGG